GGCAACCCCATTTTTCCTTGTCTTTTCATCTCCAGAGTAATATATCATATGGTCATCTGACTCAAAATGCCCCATGCCAGTCAATCTCATCTCTCTAATGCCTAATATGTCAATATTTATGCGTTCCGTTTCTATCTTAACAATTTCTAATTTTCCCACATTCATGGTTCTCACATTCCATGTTCCAGTCACTAGGGTCTGCTTACAACTGTTCCTCCTCCTTTGTATTTCCATACATATGGAAATACAAAGGAGGAGACATATTGTTAGGAGAGGCTATTCTTTGGAAACGAACATATGCTTGGAAATGTGGATGGTCATTGAAGAAGAAGACGACCCTCAATAAAATGGATTGATGCGATGCCTGTGGCAGTGAACTCATGTTTCAGAGATGAAGAGACTTTTCACAGAAAAGGACAGAGTTCAGATCTGTTTTTAATGGAATCATTGCTATGAGTCGTCTTCTACTCAAAGGCACTTAGCAACCGTGTATGCATGTGTCTTGCTTTGTATTCTAGTGGTAAGGAGCTGTGCTACCAACCCACAGACACATGGTTCAAATTCACAAACTGCTCCATGGGAGAAAAATGGGCAATCCCCTCAGTGAGATTTGTTGCTTTTGAAAAGCAACTATGCCTCAGTTCCAACTCTATGATACATAACAACAATATATGCATATATCTTGCTTTACATTCTCTATATATTCTCTATTGAATCATTCCTAAATAAAAATTTACATGGAAAAAGCCAAATAAGAATAGTATTATTTTTAAATGTTTCAGTCAAAATTAATCACTTGCTTAAATTCTTAAGTATAATCACAAAAGTAGAGAAAGCAAAGTCCTGTTGTTACTACAGCCTGCCTCAGCCAACAGATAGATTACGCCTGGCAGCAGCACTTCAAAAAAGCAGGAGCATACTGCATTGCAAAGATGAGGGAGAGAATTGTTTAAAAGGGATATATGATTAGGTGTTATTGTCATGACAGAAGTCTAGAATGAAGGCTGCATAGTGGAGTGGACTTGGGGGGAGGGATTGTATAACAATGAAAGAATTTTTCTTTTACATTTCAAAGAGAAGAACAAATTGGGGTGGGGGGGAGTGGGCAGGTAGAAAAGGGCAACAATGAATGAATGGAAATCCAAAATCTCTGTAAATTTTCATTAAAATTAATAATAATAATAATAATTTTAAAAAGGGAGTGGAAGGGCAACAGAGGCTTTTTTCCTGAAGTGCATTTCTTTTTGACTTTTGTATCATGTATGTGTATCAACTATTTTTAAAAAATAATAAAAGAAGACCACAACTATTTTCAGTAGAAATGTAAACCATTTCTCTTCCTACTAGAGCATGGATTCCTTGACCAAGATGTGTACTAAATTCCTATCTGTATTTCTGAACCTAACATAGTAGTTTACACATTTTTAAGCCCACAACTAGTTATGTGCAGATGTGATTAAAAAGAAGAGTTAACAACATTACTAGGAATTACTGACTGAATATGGATAACTGATACCCTTTTACCTCTTTTCATAATGGGGCTGAGAATCAGCATTCTGACTCTCTGAAATATAATCAGTTTTGCTGAAGTCCATTAAAAGAACTTAAAAACAAGTTAGAAATTTCCTAGTCATTTGTCCAAAATATGAGATTTGCATTTCTTTATATGTTACAATGTGAATTTTTCCGAATATGACTTCCCAACTCTTTTCCTTTTTTTTCTTAATAGATATTTGTAGAATTTGATGGCTGTAACTGGAAGCAACACTCATGGGTTAAAGTTCATGCGGAAGAAGTTATTGTGCTTCTACTAGAAGGGTCACTTGTATGGGCACCCCGGAAAGATCCAGTCCTTCTCCAGGGCACTCGAGTCTCAATTGCACAGTGGCCAGCCCTGGTGAGTGTCTCTTACTGGCTAGAAACAGATTTATACTTTACTCCTTTGTTACACCTGAGGTATATTTCAGTAGCTAAACTGTTTTGTCCTCAGTAAGCAGAAATTAGGAGACATCTGTTCTCTAGTATCCTCTGAAATTTTTTATATTAACTATATAATATTTTATGCTTTTTTTTCTCTAAAGCGTTTTTTTACCTTTAGTCCTTTTTTTGGTTGCAAGATTTTGAAACAATGTTTATAATCTGGATTTTTGTTTTAAAGATTAAGCTGTTTTATGAAGTGAAACAAAATAGTGCTATAAAATTTAATTCTTAGGATGTCCATTTATTTCTAATTATCCTTTTAGCACAGTATAGGCAGAAGTGCTATCCTTTTTAAAAAAAATCTGATATTCTTCTGGCTAGTAAAATAAATAATATTCATGGCAAATTTTTTTTACCTATTGGTTCAACCTATTATACTAAACTGTTCATGTGGTTTTTTTCCCTAATTTTTTATAGCAGTTTACTTATAAAGTTTGTATACATTGTTTTTCACACTACCCTTCATTCACATTGTGTTTCATACAGTCATTCCCATTCATTATATTTTATAAAATTAATCACTACTGATCTGTGTCCACCATTGTCTTTCCAGATCACCATCGGGTCTTTCCAGATCACCATCGGATCTTTCCCATTTCATTTATCCTACCCCCTACCAAATATTTTATGTCTTAAGGTCATTTTTTTAATTGAACTTTTATTATTTTTTGTGTGTATACCATCAAATTGGATCTGACAGGTACAGGAGGAGATTGTCCCACCTTTTCTAGCAGGGCATCTTGTGGACTCGAACCTAATTGAACTTTTAGAGAAGCTTTTATAAAATTTATTTGGAGCCTGTAGGTGATTTTAGTAGCCATATATGTAAGAGTCAAGTGTATTTACTTGTGCAGATTATGTAAACATAACATGGTTATTTTAATGTGATTGTTTTAGAAGTTCAACAAAGAATTGAGATCTCTAGAGATGATACTGGAAGCAGGAGTGGCATCCACTTCCTAAACAACATGCCTTTGGAAACTCTAGGAACTCGATAGTTATCAGGCCTTTTTTTCATAGGGTCACTGAGTCGTGCTCAACTTGAAGGCAATCAGCAACAACAGAGATGATAAAGCTATAACTATTCTGGATTATAAGTAACTATAATTTAGCCACTGTAAGCCTGGCAAGAAGATTAATCAGATCCCTAAGGAGAATAAAAACTTTCTTATTTCATTGACCTTTTTAGCCATAAATATAAGTTTTTCATTGATTTCTGTTCAAGTTTGATTCTTCTGAGTATTTGAGGACAGATGCCAGATTGACAATGTTTCCAACCTTTTAAGCATCACCTTTTAAGTTTACTAGGATCAAAGATAATAAAAATCTAAAATACTAAAAATACTAAAGTATTTCCTCCAAAGTTAAAGATTCCATTGAATTGAAATTTATTTCCTTTACTGAGTTCTAATCATTTCTTCTCATTGTACTTTTACAGACTTTCACTCCCCTAGTAGATAAACTGGGTTTAGGTTCTGTGGTTCCTGTTGAATACCTTTTGGATCGAGAGCTTCGTTTCCTGTCAGATGCTAATGGGTTGCATCTGTTCCAGGTATTTAAAAGAACTGTTGTCCAGAGTTTGTTATTTCTCTCCTTGACACTGTCTTTATGATACAGAGTATATCTTTTAGCATTGAAACATTTCTTTCTTCTAGTAATTTCCATGTGTTTTTTAAAGTTTCTGTATTCTTTTGATTAGAAGTGCAATACTCTACAAATTACATCATCAGAGCTCCACTGTATTTTTTTTAAAAAAATATGTTTAGTGGTGGAGACTTCTTTTTACTTTTTTAGGGTGCATTTCACCCGAAAACCACCCAGAAATTAAGACCACAATTCTAAGGTGGTCTTAGAAAAGCTAACTTCTTTGAGGTGGCTCTATGGCTGCTTCTGTAACTTGAATCTGCAGGGCCTACTCTTATGTCAATGGCAGGATAGGCCGAAAGATTGGCCAGGTTACAAGGAGCATGAAAAATTTAAGAATTTAGATGTGGTTTTGGTTACAAAGATAGGGATAAGTTGTTTAAACGAAACAGCATTCGAGTTAAAGTTTCAGAGTTAAGGAAAGGTAGAAAGTTGAGATTATTTTATTAAGGAAGTATTTATTTCTAACTTGGAAGAGTTGCTTTCTGGCAGTTAAAATAAAAATTGGTAGATTTGTTGGAGTTCTGTGTTCCATGAGATATTGAGTTCTCGTTAAATGTATCTTGTTCCCTCTCATAGAGGAAACTTTGCTTTAAATATCCGTATATTCCTAATGTTTGTCTGTAATAGGCACTCATAATGTAGAAAATAGCAAAATAAAAAAACAGATTTATATGGAATAAAGTGTTTTCTTGTCAAAGGAGTGTGGAAGACACTGGCCAACACAGATTTCTTTATTTGTGCAAATTTCTTTATTTGTGCTATTATTGTATGCACAGCTGTGATATGTAATGTTAACTATGCCTAAATTATTCTAGTATCCTTCAGTTTTTGGTTTTGTTGTTTGTGTGTGTTTTTGAGTTTTTGGTTTTTCAGAACACCTTATGAGCCTAGGATTCTAAAGAATGTTCTTTAGCAGATCCTGATATGAAGCCCCTCAAGGATGTGATTTTTCTCATCTGGCTAGATAGTGTTGCTAATAATTTTAATATGAAGTTGTTTTCTTCCTTTATCTTTATCAGATGGGAACAGATAGCCAAAACCAGATTCTTTTGGAACATGCAGCACTAAGAGAAACAGTTAATGCTTTAATCAGTGATCAAAAACTACAAGAGATATTCAGCCGAGGTAAGAGGAAATAATAGTCTTTTGTTCTTGAACTCGGAATCAAGTGTGTGATAAATGTTGAAGTTAATAGAATGGAACACTGTAAACATTAGTATACATTTATCTCCTTTTTTTTATTCATTGTTATCCCCCCATCCTAGTCCACCTCACGATGCACCGCTTGTTCCAGATTGTTGTCATACATCTTCTTTTTTGTGAGTAGAGGAAGTATTTCCAGTAAATTGGAATTCTAAACAGAATAGAAAAATATAGAACAGACTAGAATAATGAGATTTCACTCAGATTGTTTCCTCTTCATGTTATATTGCATAATATATATTTTTTGCTGTGGTTTAAAAAAAATTTCATTTCTATACTATTTATTAAGCATGTGTGAGGACATGTTAAAGCACTAGGTATATAGTCAAGAGCCAGTATATTTCTGTCTGAATTGAATTTATGGTCTAGAATTTTCTCAACTATCTAATTAGATTGTTAATGCAAATAAGTAACAACTTGGAATGCAGAATACTCAAAGGAACACATCCACAGACTCATTCATATTAGCATATTATTTTTAAGAATGAAAACAACTTATTAGCTTTTTTCCATTTCTGAAACAAATTTTATGCAATTCTTCACCAAGAGTTGATTGGGTTTTTTTTTCTCTTCATACGATATATCCACTTCCTTTACTTTCTGGGCTTCATTATAATTATAGTTTTCAGTAAACCAGAGTGTAGAAAATGGTATTTTTGGTAAAAAAAAAGGTAAATAAATGAAGGTAGGGAAACTGATCTTTTCATCTATTTGGGGAAGGTGGGTAGCAGGAAAGAAATTAGAGTTACTAATAAATGCAGGAAGGATATAGAAGAATGATGCCTGTGAGGAAAATTTTGTATTGGAGAAGAAAAAATAGAGTAGTTGCAATGATGGATGTAAATATGAGTATATAGAGTAACATTAGGAAAGCTTA